TTACAAGAGGATAGGAAATGCAGCTCAGCGGTAAAGCATGAAGTCTTGAGTTGATCCCCAGCACTAGAAGAACAAACAAACAAATAGGCAACGAATAGCTTACAATATGTAGGAGAAGATGCCATTTATTCACTCAGGTTAAGACTCTTAACTTTGACAGTCTCAGGTACTAGAAAGACGAGTGGCACAGATGTCCTCCCCAGGGTGACACACCTATGAAATGTCACAGATGCACTCAGAATTAGGTTTATTACAAATTGCAATAAGAGAAGGTGAGGCTTACCAATTCAGTCTCCTCAGGGATACAGCAGTGAAGGGTCTGTAGAGAATGAGGCTTGAAAGGAAACTTTAAAGGGAACGGATTTTCTCCAGGGGAACCAGATGTAGAATGGAATTTATGATGGAAGGAGAAGCTTCAGAGAAGGCAAAAGGCTTCTGAGGAAATGCTTAAAAGGTAGAGCTCAGCCAGATTATTGGAGCCTCTTAAGCTAAGTGTGACGTTGATCTTGCCTGATAGAAGTCACTGATGTATTTTTGAACTGTGACAGTGTTGGATATGAGTTTCTAATATAAAGCACAAAACAAGAGTCCCGTGATTCGAGATACAAATAATGTCTAAGGAATCGGAGAAAGCTTATTGAAATAAGTCTTCCTCCTATCTGATTTTTTTAAATTTAAAAATATGTGGTAGGTAAACGGTGAACATTCTCCTCCACTTGGCACACACCTGTCCACCCCTTTCTGAACTCTTTTTCTTGTAATATCATAAGTGTAATTTTTGTTTTCACTTCTAGCGGCCTCTTCAATCTAAAACTCTAAATATGAGACTCAATAGTTCCTGCCATGAAGGAGCAGAATGGTTCACTTTTGCAAAGACTTCTGAACTTTTCATTTTTTTTTTCATTCGAGAAATACTGAACGTGCTGACTACTCATTGTGCGTCAGGCACTGCCGAGGCCCTAGAGCCGAGTCCCAGGAAGTGCTATTTCCTGCGTCTTTTAGAAGTTTTCACACCTTCTTTGCATCTAGACAAACAGGTAGAAAACATTTTAAAAATTTAATACCTTCTCTTACTATAGAGCAGCATGCTCACGTGATTCTTTGCCTCATTTATCGCAGTCAGGTGATCTTTCCATCCTTTTTTAGGGCTCCTTAAGCTTCTTATGTTTTTTCCCCTAGGTGTAGAAGATGCCATCAGGTGAATGTCTTGTAACTTATTTAACCTGTTTCCTGCAGAGGAACGTCTACTTTGTTTCTATCTTTTCCACTCAAAACAATGCTGCATGAAGATCCTTTCACAGCTGTCACCTCACATGTGTGCAAGTCTTTTTGACGGACTTAGAATTCACAGGCTGAGTGGATATGCATTTGGAATTTGGGTAGGTACTGCCAACTGCCCTCAGTAGCATTTCTAATATTTTTATTTTCCAGAGTGGAAGTCTTTCTAGAGCAGGAATTTTCTTAATTATCTTTATTTCCTTAGCCCTAGGAAGTACTTAACATGTAGTTGTTGAATTAATTCTTGTCTAAAGTCACAGTCGGAGAAGGACCGAAGGTCAAGTTCTTCTTTTTACTGTTAATGAGATATAGTGGGCTCCCCACAGTCCTTTCAAAACATATAGCAAGGAGGACAAAGCAAAGATTCAGCGCACAGTGCCCTCCCGCATCGCAGAGCCAGGGAACACGTCAATCCTGTCTTAGAGAAATTATATTTATCACTCAAACTTAGGTATTAGTTTCACCATCTTTTCTTTGGCAAAGAGGAAAGAATATTTACACAATATTCTTATTCATTATTAAAATTCTGACAAAATCAGCCATGTCAACATTTTAAAGAATACTAGCTTCCTTCTTTTGTATCTAGGAAAGACTGAATTGCGGTGGGTCCCAGTGACTGGCTCAGGCTAGTCAGGGACAGACCCTGGAATAGATGAATATTCTCAACATGTTTGGCCTGTTACACACACAGCTCAGCACAATTATGAATACCAAAACTTTCCAAAGCTTTTTCTGGACAATCTTATTAATCTTCTAAATTTACCTAAAACCTTACATGTTCCTTGAAAGTGGTTTCCAAAATAGTTTGTTGCTGTTGGAACCACATTTAAGGAGAAGAGGGCTTTAAAAAAAAAATCTAATCTTTGCCCACAAGTTAGCTCTCCTTTCACAGAAAGCACTTGTTTCAACATGTAGCGCTGTAATGACACGGTCTCACCTTCTCTTCCTTATCCACAATCTGTACAGTACATGCTTTGTGCAAAAGTAAACAGAAATCCTTAACTCTTTAACTTCTGTCCCAGCCAATGCCTTTGATTAATTCTCAACTTTGAATGCAGCCCATAGGGTGGCTGGGGCTCTCTAAGTACAGCCACATAAGCGACAAATGCATGGATTTTCACACATTTCCCCCCAACATCCTGGGAAATTATCGGACTGGACAGTCCTCATTATTTTCTATCATCAAAATGAAGCTGGAATCAACTCAACCTGGACCAATCTATCTTCAATCAATATTAAAGAAACAGTGGCACTTTGGTGGAAAAGGAGCTGCAGGTAGCTCTGTCCTCTATGGCTGACAGCTTTCATGTTGGTCACAGCCGTTCTAATCCTCAGGGTCTTTAACCGTTAAGAGAGGACGTGGAATTCTTATTCACAAAAGTTTGTTTAGCAGCCTTGTTAACCCAAGCACAATTTAGTGACTCATACTTGATATTTGTGGGAATCTCCAGACAGTAAATTAGCACATAGATTGAAATATGGTTGTGAAATGAATAATTGAAAAATATATGTTACTGAGAAGAAAGGTAAAAACAGTGAGGCTTAATGACAATAAAGCAATGGTGGATGTGGGAGGATTTCTTAAGCCGGGTGCAGGGGTGGATTTGGGTGGTCCCTTAATGCCCTAACATTGTGTGGGAAATTCTGTTTGTATAGACATATGTATATATTCCCAATAAGTTTCACTCCTAAGATCTCCAAAAGAGTCTGAAACTTCTCCAACATTGAAGCCTATCCTAACTGACCAAATTCAACTAAGTGACTATTCAGATAAGAGGCCTATTAGGGTCATTCTTCTCTTCTCATCTCTCTCTTCCTCCCTCAACAGAAAATAATCTTTTCACAGAAAACATTGGGAGCAACTTTCAACAAGTTAATTTTTAACTTTTTATTTCCTACAAATTCTTTCTATGGCTTTAGATATGGCTTTCGTTATGTCTCTGAATTATTTTATGAACATATTAAGCCCTATTTTTGACCTTGCAAAGCTATTTTGTGTTGCTTGCCTTTACATTTTCATTCCTTATTTCATTTGAAGACTTGATGGAAAACTAAACAGAAGTTATTCAAATGGCTTCTTTCAGATGCTTTTATTCTGCTGTTTTTAAATTTCTCCGACTTTAATTTCTGTAGATCTTTCTATATTTGATTAACATTCTTCAATCACCAAACTCCTAATTTAATATGCTGAAAGGATTTCGGATTTAGGAATATTATTATTGGGATTATTATAATTATTTAGAGCCAGCAGAATTAGTTATCATCTGAGTGACTCTAGCCTTCCCAATGTTAATGCAAAGGCAGGGTCTGTCCCAGCTTGGGCAGTCTGGCCTCAGTTCTGGCTTTAACCGGTCACAGCCGTGAACAAGTGACCTCCACACCCTTCAGCCCTACTGGAGAAGCAAAGTCACCTCCAGAGAGTTTTGGTTTGCTTTTGCATGCTAATACACTTCCCTGGAGGCCTTTTCCTGGGTGCTTACTTGTTTCTTGTAGAATAATCTGCAGGCAGGTGTTAAAGTACTTCATGGGCTTCAAAGTTTGCTTCAAAATGAGCAAAGGAAGCTATGTTTTAATAACGAAATATTGCTGCAGTTGTGGGACCTTCCGTCAGGGTTTGAAAAATGTGGTGGGAAGATCATTTCTAGGTGCTGAGTGCTCCTCGCACTGACTTCTCTCTGTAACTCAGCTGATCAGACACTGCCATCCCATGCACAAATGAGGTCAGTTTTGAATCTGAAGCTGGGTCACCATACTTGTGATTTTTTTTTTTTTATGCTTAAAGTAAAGGAAAACTTAATATTCTCAATCAATATTGAAAAAATTCCCTAGACCAAAATTTTTCCTTCCTTTCTTCCTTCCTCCCTCCTTCTTTCCCTCCCTTTCTTCCCTTGCCACTTCTTTCCTTCCTTCCTTTTTCCCTTCCTCTCTCCCTCCTCCCCTCCCTCTTCTCCCTTTTCTTTCTCTCTTGTTTCCTTCTTTCCTTTCTGCTTACTACCAATACCCTGGCAACTTGGTGAAACTCTTCCCCCAATATGTAAAATGAGAACAAATAGGATTATAGAGGAAATAAACTATTTTAAACATAGTTAGCAGAATGCTTTTAAAGTGCGCAATAATTGGTATGCTTCTTTCTTAAAACATTAAAAGTCCAGCTCAGCCTGACATGGTGACGCGTGCCTGTAATCTCAACTACTTGGGCGGCTAAGTAGGAGGGTCACAAGTTTCAGATGAGGCTGGTACACTGAGCAAGATCTTGTCTCAAAAAAACAAAACAAAAAGAACTGGGGATACAGCTCACGGGCAGTGCCCATGGATTTGATGCCCAGTGTTGCTGGAAGATAAGAAGAAACAAAAAATAAGCTTAAAGGGTGGGTGTAATATCTAACTCTAACTTCAAAATAGACAAAACAATAATATTTTAAAGTATCTGTAAGAATTTAAAGGATATAACAATATTGAACTTCTGTTGCTATCAAAAGTCGCAGGTACCACTTATACCAACCCCTGTGGTTTATATACTACTTCCAAAAGGAAAGGAAATGTTACATTTCACTAAGAAGAAATATACAGAAATAGTCTATTTTTTTAATTTATCCAAGTTCATGGACACCAGAAACCTGGATTCCAGGTATAAAAGTCTGCTCACATGTCTTCTCTTGGCTTCTGGAGAGGAACATCATTTCCTCTCTTTCTTTCTGAAGGATAAGATGAGCTCCACTTACCATCCAGGGTCTCGCACTGGACCAGGTTGACGTAGTCCTGCTGGGTCAGGAGGCCGGCCTTGCAGCCTCGCACCAGGCCCTCCAGGTAGCCATGGTCCACGTTGAAGTGTAGCTCTGCACTCTCCAGCATGGGAAAGGATAGCGGTGACTGCAGCTGAGCAGCTCTGGAGTCCTGGTCAACCCCTGTCAAACTGCACTGGTCTGGAAAAAGTGCTGGTGGCATAAACAATCAGCTGACCATCAAGATTCCTGTGACTAGTTTCCTCCGGCTTTTGTGGCTTTCAAAACAGTGTATTCAGACCAGTTTTATGGCAAGAATGAATCAGCCCGATGATTAAAGTAAACCCAGTACTGGGAGGAAAGCAGGAGGGAGGGACCCAGGGTCTACGCTTCCCTTTTTGAAAACCAGCCACTCGTGGTTTTGCTATTGGAAGCTTCAGACAGCTGAATGTTTTGGAAACATTCCCACTCCCACCTGAACTTTCAAATTATATTTACTTCAAATTTTTGGAGGACTATCAGTATGAGCAAAGAGAAGGCTTTTGTCAAAATAAAAAGATTAGGTTCTGTAAAGAGATCAAAAGTGAGAAGTTAGGAGAAATCAGAGAAGCTAATTTTACAGCAGAGTAAATATTTGTAAAACAAATGGTTAATAATATTTTAAAATTACCAAGAGCTGATAATATTTCCTATGCAGTTTAGGGGCAGAGCCCTATAATTCTGCAGTAGGAATTCAGTACCTTTGCAAAATGTGACTGTAATACACTCTTCATTTGCTTTTTTCTTTTTATTTGAGTCTCCTGATTACTCTGAGATAGGTATCAGCAGAGGTAATTTTAGTACTAAAATCACAGATAAGGAATCAGCTCTCAGAAGCTGTGAAGTGTCTCAGACTAAAGCTTTGTAATACAGTAGGTACTTAGTAAAGCAGGGCTTATGTGTGGAGTTTCATGCTCCAAAAAAGAATGCTTGTTATCTTAATATACTTAGTTCAAAAATTGTGTTAACTACTTTAACACTATCGACAAAAATAGTATTTCACATGGATTGTGTCAAATTCTTTAATTGGAATAGTGCCAAAAACTGTTCAGGCTCTGTCTCTGGGTTTCCAAACCGTTTGGGGTAGGAAAGATTGACTCAACATCCATTCTGCTATGGTTGTTGAAAATCACAGATTTCAAACTTAGCTTCACAGAGTGCCTGACTTAGGAAATGTTTAATAAATGCTTAAACTCTTATTTTTTTTGTTTTTTTTTTTCTGGTATCAAGAATCGAACTCATGACCTTGCACTTGCCAGGCAGGCACTGTGCCGCTGAGCTAAACCTCCAGCCCCCTCAGACATCCTTAGTATGTTTTATGTTGAATCATTGAGCTCATTTATCATTTCCATCAATGTAAAATAATAACTCTGCTTTAAAGGAAGTAAGACAATGGCTTATGCTGAGCTAGGACTGACTTAGTCTGAAAACAGGGATTGAAATTCCCCTGAATGAGCCGTTCCACCATGCAAAGGGTTACAGGAACTTTATAGTCACAGAAGAAAGTCATAAATCAACAAATTTACCAGTTACACTGACAGTCACATCAGGTAGGTGGGCTATATGCAGGAAGGTGGGAAAATCGCTTCTATAGTTTCACATGTTATTTTATAGTGTTCTTAGATTTAGGGCTGGTGGAAGATAGAGATCTGCTAAACTCGATGATACTTTCCAAGAGTTTTGCTTAGCAGTCGCAAAGTTGTTAGGTCAGAGAAAGAGGTTGGTAGTAAATGGCTATTAAAAGAGACTAAAGGTAGTCCAAAATAATTTTGCCTCTCAATCTACAATATTGCATCACTCCACAATCCCCATGATACTCCAATACAGTGTGTAGGATTTGCACTGCAAATGTAACTTCCTCGGAAAACTTCAGTTCGCATTCAGATAAGTCTAAAGATGGTTATATATCAACTGTCTATATCATTCAAACTAAGCTTATAATTAAATAAATTATGAAAACAGACCTCCTTTCCTAATTATTTTCTTATATTTTGCTACTATGGATGCACTGAAGTTATTCTGTCTGTTATTTGTGTGGAAGATTTTTTTCCCTTTTGTTTTGTTGATAGTTCAGGGTGTTGAATTCAGGCCTCATGTGTGCTGGGCAAGTGCTCTACTGCTGAGCTACAACCCGGGTCAGTTTGGGAGATAGTCTATGTAACCACGCACTCTCTTGTATCTCCCATTGGCCAACAAGGCAGAATTATTTACACTGTGAAAATATGCAAGTGCAAAAAACTAGAGCTTGATTTACTGCTTGATTGTTCAGTCTTAATAGTGGAGAAAATGTTAATAAAACAAACTGAATTTAAAAGTATATAACATCTATAGCCATTAATATTGTGGGTTGCAAAAAATAGTTAAAGAAATATTCTTTCAGTATTTGAAAACTTTTATAGAATCAGCAAAGAAGTCACTCACATTATGTAGAGCAAGAGAAGTTCTGGCTTAGGTCTTCAGTGCTCTTCCACTTTCCTATTATTCATTAATTTATTTTTATTTTTAATTTTTCATATAGTACATATGGTTGGTTACAGATTGAAGAGCAGGACAACTGTAACTGAACGCAGGGTGTTCCCTTCTTGGTGAGGGTGAAG